AGTTAAAAATTTTTAAACATAAGGGAACTATTGTTACTGAAAATTACCACTTTCTGAAAGATGATAGTGTAACGGGACACAGGGCCCCGCAAAGGGTATTTGTAACAGGGTCTGGAGATGGGGGTGTCCAAGAAAAATATATTCTCCCCACCCCAGGGCAGGCCGCCATGGGGGATGGGAGCCTTGAGCAGAGCCATAGAGAGTCATTTTGTATGTCAATAACAGAATAGCTTCATTCCTCATATGCAAAGAGGGTTATTTTGCATATCACCAAAGCTAATCAGAAAGGTTTCAAAGACTTTATACAGAATGTAACTGGGAGAGAAAGAGGAGAGACAGGGGCCTGCAGGAGAGACAAAGGGACACAGACTCTGGGAAACTGTGTGAAGACCACGTGGGAAGAAAGAGGGGAGAAAGGACTCTTGCTAGTGGGCCAGGAGAAGGTGCCACATGGTTATGGATGAAGAGCTGGAGATCGTGGCGGCGCAGTGGATGGTGCTGAGACCTGCGAGAGGCCTGCCTAGCCGAGCCCTGGACTTCTGTTGTTTTTCTTGTGAAGGACGGTGCCCCTGACTGGCCTAACTGGGCAAAGCAGGGGAAGGCAGGACCGTGTGCATGCTGGTGATTGTTTTGAAGGGATTTTGAGGTTTAAGGGTGACATTTAGCCATTAATCAAACCTGTGAAACTTTTGAATAAATAGTTCCTTTTCCTTTTCACGAAACTCTGCCATTCAGAGCCATAATTCCAAAGGCGGCGGGCAAAGGACCCACAACCGAGGTGTCCCGGGAAAGGACGGTGTCGTTGTTTCGGTAATAGCATCTGTGCACCCCCTCCCCCCTGCAACGGGTCCTTTTGTTCAGTAACAATAGATCAATGTCTGTGACAGGTCTTCATTCTCCTATACAATGACTCTTTTTCTTCATTACATAAACATGCTAAGTCTTCACTACCTTAAAATTAAGAGTCAAAACAAAACTTTCCTGAGCCTTGCTTCCTATTCAAGGTATTATTTTCTCCATTTCCTTTTCTAGCCTGAGAACAGCAGGGCAGAGACCATAGTTTTTATAGAGTGATTGGTATACAATTGGCACTCAATAAATTAGTGAATATCCTAAATATTTTCTGACTTTATTTCTTCACTACCTATTACTTAAACCGAAATAACCTTTATCTCTTAACCTAGTGAAACTTTCTCAGTTTCTCCAATGAGGCAGTGTGGAGTGGTTTGGAGTGTTCTGGCACTGGGACCAGGCTGCCTGGCTTTGAATCTTGATTTTTCTCACTCTCTTGCTCTGGAAACCTGGGCAAAATTACCTAATATTACTGTAGCTTTATTCCTTTGCAGAATGGGAATGATTGTGTGGATTCAAATAGTGTAAGTCTTATGAAATTGAAATGAAGATGGCAGAACTTAAGCAATTTTTAAGCAGCCAGACATTAAAATTCTTTGTTCTTTCAGAGCTTGCCAAGAGACAAATTCAGAAGATTCTTACTTGAGGAAAAAAAAAAAAAAAAAAAAACTTCAGCAGAAGATGGAAAAAATAGTCTCCGCCAAGATGAAAGTGAATCCTCAATAAATTGTTCATCACAGGATGCCTTACTGTATAGCTCACAAGGTTATAGAAGTATTCAAATTAAATTATAGGACTATGCATTATAACAATACAGTACCATAAAGTGGGTACTATTAGGTTCTTTTATAAATAGAACATATTTAACAATTTATGTTAAATTGAGCATGTTAATAAAGTTGAGTGTCTAATAGACACCTCACATTTGTATTTGAAGCCTAAATGTTATTCCTTCTCTCACTTTCAGCCTATCCCTCCCTATCTTAGTAAAAGGCAATCAATACCTTTTATCCACTTGTTCGGTTCCAAATCTGAGAGTCACATTTGACTCTTTTTATTTCCCATTCATTTAACACATCTTATTGGCTCAAGGTTAAAATTTTGAATACTTCCTGCCACTCCCATTGCTACCATTGTAGTCCAAGTTTCCATAATCTCATCTAGCCAACTATAATAACATCCAAACTAGCCTTATTGTGTCTAGTCTTATCAACTGTAGTCTAAATTTCCCCACAGCAGCTAGAGTGACCCTTTTTAAAGGTTAAATTAGATCATATTACTCTCATTCAAAATTCTCCAATGACATTTGCTGCATTGGAAGTTGATTTTATATTAATTTCTTGCATACTCTGTAAATCCCCACTGAATCTGAAATACATCCCCCATGCACTTCTCCAATCTCATATACCAGTTACACTGCATATGTGCCTACCTCACTCTGTTCTAGATACAGTGGTCTTGTTGCTGTTCTTTAAACACATCAAATAACACTGCCCTCAAAGCCTTTTGCATTTGCAGCACTCTGCCTATAATATTCTTCATTCAGACATTTGAATGACAACCTTTCTTCATTCAGACTGCTGTCCTAATTTCCCTTTCTCAGAGGACTTCCCTGAGCACTCTACCTCAAATAGAACTGACATCAGTCTCTGTCCCCTTACACTATTCCATTTTTCCTCATAACAGTTTTCATTACATGATATATCCTAGTGGGGAAGAAAAGATAAATACAAGCTTCATGAGCATAGGGACTTGGAAGTTTTGTTCATCACTGTATCCTCAGCACCAAGGAAGTGCTTGGCACATGCTTAATGTATATTTCCTTAATTAAAAATTAATTATGGTTTTGGGAGTGTGAAAAATTAAGCATTATACTTCATTGGAATGTCACTTCTGAGAAAACAAAGATTTGATTATATTTTTTATTGCTTTAATCATATTTGCCTTTCAAGAGATAAATTTATGAATACTTCAAATTATCTTTTTATTATACAAATATCTAATCTTAAAGCCTTTTTTAGAATCAAGGACTATATAACATAAATAAAATGTGGAAAGCTTGCTAAATATTTTGAATAAAATAATTTAAAGGCCGAAAAATTAGTTCTTGTGATTTATTTAAAAAAAAAAAAGTTGGTAACATAGTGTTTAAAATTTTTGTTCTTGCCCTAGCTGGTGTGGCTCAGTGGACTGAGTGTTGGCCTGCGAACCAAAGGGTCGCGGGTTCGATTTCTGGTCGGGGCACATGCCTGCGTTGCAGGCCGGTCCCCGGTTGTGGGCAGGCAAGAAGCAACCACACATTGATGTTTCTCTCCCTCTCTTCCTCCCTCCCTCCTCTCTGGAGATAAATAAATAAAATCTTAAAAAGAATTTTGGTTCTTGCTAACATGAATGAAGAATGTTTATATGAGCAAATATTTGTAAGCAACCAAATCATTCCTCTTAATGCTAATATATCATGCAACAAAGCAGTAAGGTGCCTAGGAGTTATGAGATACAAACTAATAATATAGCAAAAGCTAGATTTTCAGGAAGCCTAAACATGCATGCCTAAATACTCCAAACAACCACAACCTTCTTCCCTTTTATTTTCACCTTGCACTGCCTCTCTCTCCCTCCCTCCCTCGCACCGCCCACCCCCGCCGCCCCCATTGCTCTAATTAGCCCTAGAGAAACAGATTTGTGATAATAGCTATGGGAATAGAATCAAGGTCAATGCTTGTGACCAGGCCAGTTAAAAACTTGTCAAGATAGTTAATCGTCCAAGTGCACACATTGAGCCTTTCTTTGCCAAAATTATATATTATGTCCTCTTGGCATAGACCTGAAGGGGGCTTATGTATTTCGTGTTCTAAATCAAACCTGATTTGTTGTTGCACTTTAAAATCTCGATTACCAGAGCACATTTCAATTTGTGTCATTGCATCCAACTTTTGCAAAAACTCCATTTTAAATAGTTTTAAATGAAAAAGCTTATTTGAACTCTAAAAATAAACAAATTGGTTCACAAAGGCAGAAACAGTTGAATGATGGGTGAGTGATCTTTATTTGGTTTGTACATTCGACTTCCAATTTGGGAATTTTTGCACCAAAACAAACAAACAAATAAAACCCCCTGACTGAAATAAAGTCAGAATTTATCTGTACTTTTACAACAGGCTCTCTCTGAAAGAAAGTTTCAGCCTTTTCAAATTTTCACTTGCGAAGTTATTAAACTGATGGCTCGAAATCCATTTAATTTTCCATACCTCCTGAAACAATTTCAATATGATTCCTTCTGGCATATCTTCCCAGGAGATTGCTAGGTTAAGTCTGGACGTCTTTCCAGGCCATCGATGCTGTGATGGTCTATTTCCAGAATCTGGCAGCAATGCAGGCACCATTAGGAGCCTCTGAAATATCAGGCTTTTTAAGTAGGAAATGTGCAGGAAGACGACTGCAGACGGAATGGCAGAAATATCATGGAATGGGTGAGAATGCAGAAAGGAAATTTCCACTTCAGAAGCAAGAGTGATGCCCCCAAAAGACAACTCAAACCCTACAGCAGGATTCTGTAGTTAAACTACAAACCCTACCCTGAATTATCCCCGAGACAATCGTTTCAGAATTCCCACGGCGGGTGTCTCTGAGGATTTCGCAACTCACTGTTTTCATCACTCTCAATACACCCACGAAAACATCAAAAAGGAAGGTAGAACTGAGTCCAGTTCTAGGCACAACTGAGCTCTCCATCGCTGCAAAGACTAAGTCCCTGGACACTCAGGGTTCCCACCCGTCACCGGCAGCGCACTTGGAGCAGTCGAGGGCCGCCAGAGCCTTCTATTGGCTGCCCCGCTCCGCCCCAATCCGACACCCTGGTTTCTGTTGCGAAGGACGCGGCGTCGGTTGGTTGTCAACATGGCGGCAGCGGGGTCGCTGCCACCACCTCTCCCATTGCCAGGCAAGCACGCCGCCGCACCTGCCGTTGCTACCGGAGCCGCCAGAGCCGCTGAGCGCGAATCTAAACTGCCGCGGTCCTTCTTTCCGCGCTCGTGAGTCGGCACGTGAGGGACGGAGTGTAGGGAGGGACCGAGGACCAAGACTAGGAAGCCGGAGCTGCTATGAGGGAGACGCTTGGGGCGAACCCGGAGGCGGCGCTGAGGTGAAGGATGCTGACCGGGAGGGCCGGAGCCCGGAGCGCCGTCGCGGGACTGGGCGCTGAATCCTCGGACACTCGCGACCAAGCCCCCCTCAACCCTAGGTTGAGCGGTGGGCGTCACCGACCTGGCGCTTACCTGTATCCTTCCTTCCAGGGGCAGCGTGTTGGAAGCAGGGCCCATCTTTTTTCTCATTAAATTCCCATTACCACTGACGGAAGGTAATAGAAACTAACCAGTCACCTTAGTGCGGATATTTGCTTTAGCACTGTTGTTGCTTCCCCTTAGAACTGGAATTATACCATTTTTCTCCTGTGACCGGTTCTCCCGCCACCTTGTTATCCCACCCACATTCTTCAACGTTCGTGTATCATTTTGGCGAATTTTAAAGTACATAAACTGTGTGTTCTACGGAGATGATTATCTTGCCTTCTAGAATTATGCCGTATGCCCTTCATATTATTCTCCTCCTGATAGATTATGCTACTTGGAGAAGAGAATTCCACAAATAAGTAAATCGTTTTGCTATCTTGAAAGAGTACATTTTAACAGTTAACCTAACACACCACTAATTCATTTAGCAGAGCTGCTAAAGCACAGTTGAGTATTTTGTTTTCCATCCTCTGACCAGTCTATTGTCAGACAGCAGAGAGAAAATTAGAAGCAAGGACATGGCTGCTTCATGCTGGATTATCTCTGACCTTTCCCTAAGAATTGGTGGAACCCACCGTTGGTGTAGCTGTTGGTTGCATTTAGGAAATTGAGTGTGGATTTTATTTTCACAATGTGTAAACCATGTTTATTTCTCCAGAAAATGTTTTGGTAATTAGCATTAACCTTTTTATTCTCAAAGGACTTGGTTGGCAGTGATGGTATTGTATATCACTTTCTTTATTCTTGTCAGAGAAGGGAGTTGTCTTTCCAAGTTAACACCATTTTATCCACATTGTGTCCCACATCTGGGACATTGCAATTTTAACAGCAAGTCAACAAATTTAATTTAGTGCCTGCTCTTTGGCAGACTCAGTTCTAGGTATTAGTGATAAAAATCTAGTGAGGAAGACATATATACAGAGCTTCATATCTGTTAAAATAGCCCTCCTCTGATCATGCTTTCCTCAAGTATTTAGCCCTTCTGTGTTTCCTTTCTATGACTAAGTTCTCAAAATGGTATCCTGCACTAGCATCTTCTGTTTCCTCTAATCAGTCCGCTGTGGCTTTTGCCTTTGCTACTTTCCCAAACCAGTCCTCTCAAAGTTGTGTTCTGAAATAAGCAATATTGTTCTTTGAATTGTTTTGATTCTGTTCCTTTAACATTATATTTTCTGGGACACTAAATGCCTATTACAGTGATGCTGATTTATCTCTAAATTAGAAAATAGGGAAACATTGTAAATGGCTCATTGACAGTGTATATTCTATCATTTTTATTAATGAAATGGTTGTAGACTGAATACTTTTATGTGGCTTGAATATTGATACAGATGTCAGAGAAATTCAGCAGTACCTTGAACAAACAAAATTAAAAAGACTTAATTCCAGAATTATAATAATGGCTTCCTGTAAAGACATAAATTACTAAAAATATGATTAAAACTTAAAAAGCTATAAATGGTCATTTCAATAGATGACCAAGAGGCTTTGATAAAACCTAACAACCTTTACTAGTATACAAACAAGTAAATATATATTTATATGTATATTTTTGCTAGTATACATAAAATATATAGAGTATATATATTTATATATTTTAGAAGAAAGGAATTCTTTTTTAATGTTATAAACACTGACTCTAAATCAAGAATATCATGTTACAAGTTAAAAAAACACTTTAAGCACCTTTTATAAATATTAATTTGGATTTTGTTAGTGTCTGTAATGCTTCCCATTGAATACCTGGTATAAAGTAGGTGTTCAAATTTATTTGAATTAATGACTAAAGGAGAAAAAAATGATGAAAGACCTGTAGTCTTAAAAAAAAAAAAAAGAAAGAAAAATCAAGTGGCCATGGCCAGGTAGCTCAGTTGGTTAGAGCATCGCCTGATATGCCAAGGTTGCAGGTTCAATCCCCAGTTAGGGCACATACAAGAATTAACCAATGGCCCTGGTTGGTGTGGCTCAGTGGATTGAGTGCTGGCCTGTGAACCAAAGGGTTACTAGTTCAGTGCCCAGCCAGGGCACATGTCTGGGTTGCAGGCCAAGTCCCCATTGGGGGCACTCAAGAGGCAACCACACAGTGATGTTTCTCTCCCTCTCTCTCTCTTCCCCTCTCTCTAAAAAAAAGAAAAAAACCTTAAAAAAATAAATATTTTAAAAAAGAATTTAACCAATGAATGAATAAATAAGAACAACAACAAATGGGGGTCTGTCTCTCTCTCTTTCCCGCTACTTCCCTCCCTCTCTCTAAAATCCTTTTTAAAAATTTTTAAAAGTTCAAGTGACTTGGTAAAATTTCTACATGTGGTTTTCAAATATTAATTCAATACTGAGAGACATCCAGCTTTCTACTTGAGTCAAAATTTCTTTTTTTAAGAATATTTTATTATTTATTGACAAAATCCACTAATTTATTTACTTTTTAAAGTATACTTTATTGGTTATGCTATTACAGTTCTCCCATTCTTTTTTCTTCCCTTTATACCCCTCCACCCAGTATCCCCATTCCCTCCAGCATTCACTTCCTTAGTTCATGTCCATGGATCATACATATAAGTTCTTTATCTTCTACGTTTCCTATACTATTCTTAACCTCCCCCTGTCTATTTTATACATACCAATTATGCTTCTTATTCTCTGTACCTTTTTCCCACATTCTCCCACTTCCCCATCCCTGCTGATATCCCTCCATGTGTTCTCCGTTTCTGTGGTTCTGTTCCTGTTGTAGTTGTTTGCTTAGTTTGTTTTTGGTTTTGGTTCAGTTGTTGATAGTTGTGAGTTTTCTTTCATTTTACTCTTCATAGTTTTGATCTTCTTTTTCTTAAATAAGTCTCTTTAACATTGTATATAATAAGGGCTTGGTGATGATGAACTCCTTTAACTTGACCGTACCTAGGAAACACTTTATCTGCCCTTCCATTCTAAATGATAGCTTTGCTGGATAGAGTAATCTTGGATGTAGGTCCTTGCCTTTCACGACTTTGAATATGTCTTTCCAGCCCCTTCTTGCCTGTGAGATTTCTGGAGAAATTGCTTGATAGTCTTGTGGGAACTCCTTTGTAGGTAACTCCTTTTCTCTTGCTGCTTTTAAGATTCTCTCTTTATCTTTAATCTTGGGTAATGTAATTATGATGTGTCTCAGTGTGTTCTTCCTTGGGTCCAACTTCTTTGGGGCTTCCTGGATCTCCTGGAAGTCTATTTCCTTTGCCAGATTAGGGAAGTTCTCCATTATTTTTTCAAATAAGTTTTTATTTCTTGCTCTTCCTCTTCTCTTTCCGGCACTCCTATGATTCAGATGTTGGAATATGTAAAGTTGTCCCAGAGGCTCCTAAACCTCTTCTCAGTTTTTTGAATTCTTCATTCTGTTCCGGTTGGATGTTTCGTTCTTCCTTTTGTTCCAAATTGTTGATTTGAGTCCTGGTTTCCTTCCCTTCACTGTTGGTTCCCTGTATATTTTTCTTTATTTCACTTTGTATAGCCTTTACTTCTTCCTTTATTTTCCAGTTGTACTCAATCATTTCTGTGAGTATCTTTATTACTAGTGTTTTGAACTCTGCCTCTTATAGGTTGGCTATCTCCTTATGGCTTAGTTCTTTTTCTAGAGTTTGGATCTATTCTCGCCCTTAGGCCTTATGTCTTCGTCTCAGTGCACCTGTTATAAGAGGCAGAGTCTTAGGTATTCACTGGGGGCGGGGGCAACCCATTTCACAGCGTTGTGCCATTGTACGTGGGGGAGGGGTCAGAGAGAACAATGCCACTTGCTTGGCTCACAGCATGCTTTTAAGAGACTGGCAGTTTCTCCTACTGCCACAACCTCCACAGGTCTTTACAGCCAGAGGTTCTGAGGCTTTATTTTGCCTGCACTGGGACCCTGGGTTGTGCGGTCTATCTCACTCCCTGGTTGTTCCTCCTGGTTTATCCTCACGTGAATGTGGGACCACCCAGTCCACCAGCCTCCATCTTGCCTACCCAATCTGCCAGCTGCGGCCTTGCTGCTTCCTCTCCACCCCCGCTGCCTGTCTCTGCCCCTCCTACCAGTCTGGATGAATGTTTCTTCTCTAGCTCCTTGGGCGTCGGACTTCCATACAGTTTGAACCTCTGGCAGTTCTGGTTGTGTTTTGTTCTTAAATTGGTGCTCCGTTCTTTTGGTTGTGAGGAGGCAAAGTGTATCTACCTACACCTCCATTTTGGCTAGTATTTGAGTCAAAATTTCTTGACTCTGCTATAAAAGAACAAAATTATATGAAGTTCACCTAATTAAAATCCGTTAAAGTGAATTGTCTCATCGCCCCTTCACACAATGCCTCTTTTTTTTCTCATTAATATCTCGTCCTTTCCCCTTTCATTTTTATCCCACCACTCACTTTGTCTGTCTTTCCTACCTAATTTATACCCTATTCTTGGTTACCTGCACGTATTTTCTCACTAACATTCTTAGTCTTTGCACCCTGAAAAGAGGAGTAGAGTTAGCCAAGCACATACCAAGAGATAATAGCATGTTCTGTTAACAAGTATCTTAATATGGTTGGGTAGAGGACTCATGCAGGGAAATGTTGAGAAATAATGTTGAAAATTATAGAAAGTATTATATTTCAAGAAATCTGTAATTTATAATAAAGATGATAGGAGCTTTTGGAGAACAACAGAAAATGAGAAAACCAATCAGATTTGCAATTAGCTGGCCTTATGGCGTTTCAAAAGAAAGTTGACAAGTTTAGAAGTAAACAAATGAGTTAGAAGACTACTGAGGGAGGTAGTCCAGGCAAGAGATTTAGAATGCCTGAGCCAAGGCCACCTGAGCCAAGGTGGTGGAACAGGTTACAGAAAAGAAAATGAATCAGGATAGCTCTAATAAAGTTGGCAGGAATATAGGGTATATGACACATAGTTGTTTATTATAGTAACATATTTAAAACAACAAATGAGCTCCAATTGGAGGACTAAACTGGGAGAGGGAGTGATAAGGATGAAGTGGAGTAGATTAGCCTATGCTTTTAAATTATAATCATTATGTGTTACTTATTCCTACAACCCATAGGGTTGGGTTTTTTATGTTAATTATATAAAAATTAGCTTTTTTTTTTTAACAGGTATTTAACAATGACCTTATGGAAATATCTTACTTCTACGGTACAGCTTATAAGAAAAACAAAAATTTAACCAACCATTAATATTTTTTAAACTTGAAGATGATACTTTGAAAAGATGCAGTGAAGAGGCATTCTTTGTAATTCAGCAGGAAAAATTGTGTATAATACACATTGTTATATTTAAATATATATTTATACATGTATATATGGAGCAGTTCATTTGATTAAGTTTAAGACTAATTGTCAGAACATTACAAACACTACATTTGTGATTTTCTTTATGTTCTTATGGTGAGATCTCAAACTTATTAAACAGAGAACAGAATTGACCCCACCTGCATCATAGTCCTGCATTCGTCTCACCTGAGCCAAATCAACTTCTCCTCCTACCACCCACCCCCACCCCCAGCCCATCAGTGTTGTTTTTGTGTACTCTGAAAGGAGCTATCACTTTCCTCCACTGCCACGTTGTGATTTTCAGTAGCTAGCTGGCTTGTTGAAGTCTGACTCCTAATAAAGTACTATATTAGACAAGAAAAAAGAGAGTCTTTAGCTAATTATGTGCAAGAAAACAACAAGAATTCCTTTTTGTTTCATTTTTATAAACCCTTCAAAAGAAACATTAAGTAAAAACATCTGTGTAAGCATGTGTAGGTGTATGTGTACACTGAGGTGGTGCAAAATTTTATAATAAAATAAATTATAGGCAATGATATAAAGATTGTTAAATAGCAATATAATTGAAAATGAATAAAGTCCCATTAGGAAAGTTTCAAACACCCAAAAATTCAAATAAACATGATTGTTTTGAAATATATAATAAAGTTTTTTTATAATGTCGATACTGAAAGGATCCTGAAATCCCCTGAAAAGTGTAATTCATCTACTGACTATTAGTGAACTAAACTATAACCTTCATTTTCCTATATATATATGCTTAATATGGTAATTCGTTCATCAGTACTCAAAATACCTTTGCAGTGACTAAAATGATAATGTGGTCTCCTTATCTGAGCTTATAATGTCTAAAAGTAATTTATATTTTTCCAGGGAAAATGTGATATATCTTAAGTTCTAATACCAAGTCAGACTTTTTTTTTTATGCTGATCATGTACTAACACTAATGTTTACACATACTAATTGTTCCACAAAAATCATTATGTCATTATTGTGAAGCTGTAATTTTATTTATCATATAACACTCACACTCATCCACTAAAAACAAACTATTGTCCTTAACTTTATGCTATCATTAGAGATATGAAAATCCATCTAGAGAAAAATTTAGAAGAAGAGCGCCAAATATTACTGCAGCAACAAAAAATATGTCGAAATCGAGCACGTAAATATTTTGTGGAGTCAAACCGGAGAAAAAAGTAAGTAACCGAATTTTATTCAGAGTGTAGAAATTCAAAGTCATAAATTAACACTTTCTCTACTTTGTAGCATTATGAACCTAAGTCATGCAAACGGTTTATCTGGTCAAGATTTATGTGGCTTTGTACATTTTATAACTGTTTTCTCTGCCTAAAGCACAAACATAGTGGTGTAGTGTCTAGATTATTGACTGTGACCATAATTATCTTTTCTTTTCATAGAACTCCTGATTACACTGTCATATACATTTCTTAAAATGACTATAAAATATATTATCTTTATTTTTTTTATCATTTCATGGTAAATTGAAAGATTACCAATTAGTATTTAGTCTCTAATAGAATATAATTTTAATATATTACTCATTTCTCTGTACTTTTCCATTATGTGCTATTCTCATCTATCTAGTCAGAAAAATGGAGGGAAATATGAATCATGGAAAGAATTTTATAAATGACTGCCATAAAAAAGTTTTCTAGGGAGTTCCAGCCAACATGAATCCAGCCAGAAACTCAAACTGAATAGAAGTCCAACAACCAAGGAGTTAAAGAAACATTCATCCAGGCTGGAAGGAGGGACAGAGACAGACAGAGAGGACACGCTGCAAGGCAAGGTGGTGGACCAGGAGCGATCCCACATTCATGCATGGGTATGCTGGGAGAAACAACAGGGGAGTGAGACGGGTCGAGAAACCCAGGGCTCTAGCACAGAAATCTAAAGACTCAAAACCTCTGGCTATAAAAATCTGTGGAGGTTGTGGTGATGGGAGAAACTCCCAGTCTCACAGGAGAGTCTGTTGGAAAGGCCCACATGGTCCTAGAACATACACAAACCCACCCACCTGCGAATCAGCATCTGAAAGGGCACAGTCCACTTGTGGGAAGCAAGGAAAGTGATGGAAAGTAGCGTGAGAGCCAAGCAATCAGCATTGTTCCTCCTCTGATCCCTCTCTCATAGACTGCACCACAACTCAGCAAGAGGGTTACCCAGCCCTGGCAAATACCTAAGGCTCCATCCCCTACAACATAACAGGTGTGCTGAGACAAAGAAATGTGGCCCAAATGAAAGAACAGATCAAAACTCCAGAAAAAGAGCTAAGCCACACGGAGATAGCCAACCTATCAGATGCAGAGTTCAAACACTAGTGATAAGGATGCTTACAGAATTGATTGAACTTGGTGGCAAAATGAAGGAAGAAATGAAGCTATACGAAGTTAAGTAAAGGAAAATAGGGAACCAACAGTGAAGGGAAGGAAACTGGGACTCAAATCAACAATTTGGAACAAAAGGAAGAAATAAACATCCAACTGGAACAGAATGAAGAAACAAGAATTCAAAAAAATGAGGAGAGGCTTAGGATCCCCTGGGATGACTTTAAACACTCCAACATCTGAATCACAGGGGTTCCAGAAAGAGAAGAGAAGAGCAAGAAATTGAAAACTTACTTAAACAAATAATGAAGGATAATTTCCCTAATCTGGCAAAGGAAATGGACTTCCAGGAAGTCCAGGAAACCAAGAGAGTCCCAAAGAAATTGGACCCAAGGAGGAACACACCAAGTCATACCATAATTAAATTGCCAAAGATTAAAGATAAGGAGAGAATCTCAAAAGCTGCAAGAGGAAAAGATAGAGTTACCTACAAAGGAGTTCCCATAAGACTATCAGCTGATTCTCAAAAGAAACCTTGCAGGCGAGAAGGGACTGAAAAGTATTCAAAGTCATGGAAGGCAAGGACCTACATCCAAGATTACTCTATCCAGCAAAGCTATCATTTAGAATGGAAGGGCAGATGAAGTGCTTCCTAAATAAGGTAAAGTTAAAGGAATTCATCATCACCAAGCCCTTATTATAGGAAATGTTAAAGGGACTTATCTAAAATATAGATCAAAAACTGTGAACTGTAGAATGACAACAAACACAACTATCAACAGCTGAACCTAAAAGACAAAAACTGAGCAAGCAACTATAACAGAAACAGAATCACAGAAATGGAGTTCATATGGAGGGTTATCAGCAGGGTAGGGGAGGGAGAGAATGGGGGAAAAGGTACAGGGAATAAGCATAAATGGAAGGCACAAAATAGGCAAGGGGAGGTTAAGAATAGTATAGGAATTGGGGAAGCCAAAGAACTTATATATATAACCCATGGACATGAACTAAGGGGTGGAGGATGCTAGAGGGTGGAGGGGTGCAGGGAGGAGGGGGATAAAGAGGAGAAAAGAACTGGGACAAGTATAATAGCATAATCAATAAAATATACTTTTAAAAAATAAATCTTTAAAAAAAAGTTTTCTAGTGTAAGCTAGAAACTAAAGTAAAAATGCAAACCATCTAATCACTGCTTAACATTTTTCAAGATTTGTTTGAATTATTAAATTTTTTTGTTAAACACAGTATAGTTATGCCATGTTAGCATTGTTGTTTTTGCTACCTTGTCCATATTCCTATAACATGCAAATGACAGAAAAGCCCTTGAGTTCATTAACTACATCATTGGGCTTATATTGCAAATCCCATTTAGGGAATACAAAATTGGTTGTGTATATATTTTTTTCTGGCATTATGTTTTGTTTTAGATTAACTTTCCCATTGCCTGGTGTACTTGGAATTATTCAATAAAACTTTTTTTTTGTTTTGTATTGTTTGCTTCTGTTTTTCTCCTACCTTTTGGCTTGTGAAACCTATAAAAAGGCACACAATAAATGTTCATTAAAGATGAGTAATCATGTTGAAAGGGTCATGGTCTTGGGGTCAGAGATCGAGAAAGTCCTAGCTTTATGAGCTAGAGCAAGTTATTTAATCTCTGAGTCTCAGCTTCTCACTTATGATTTGAATTAATACCACCTATTTTTAAGGGATAGGTAGAACCAAAAAAAAATGTAATTTTAGAAAGGGATAGTTGAGAACACATATAAAAATAATTATGGTGTTTGTCACATAGGCTTCTTTCCTATTAAGCTTATTTATTTTGTTGATTAATAAATTAGTACTTGTCCATTGTGTTTTCTGATAATTGACTTGCTCTCTGAAACAGCAGGCTGTGTATGTGGACTTGATATTTAAATTCCCTACCTGCCTTCTCTCATCAAACACTTACTGTATTTTACTTACTGTATATGTAATGTGCACCCATGTTTTTGTGCAAATTATACATGGGAACATGGTATGTAATCATTATACCCTTGTTTAATGTGCATCCTTGTTTATCCCTCAAAAATTTTGCTAAAAACTGTGCATTATACACAGCAAAATGCAGTATATGAATTTTGATTTAAGAAGTATAAAAAGAAAGTTTTGGTTCAAAATTCTAAAATTCTAAATTGTATTTTTCAATACAATTTCATTATGTTTCATTTTTCTGTTATCCTATAATGCTATGTAAGGACATAAACATTTTTTTAAACATCATTTTTCTCTATATTTCATCTTTTCTCTATATTTCATCTTTTATTAAGGGTCAAATTATACACTAATGAATTTTAAAATATGTATCATTATCTTCTTTTTGGCCTTACTAAATCTATATGCTTTATAGCATCTAAGTTTATACTACCTACTCTCATTATTGTCACAGATTTGTTGAATTTTTTAAAGTATTCTTTTTCCTAAAGGTATTGTTAGTGATATCTTTAGTAGTACTCAGAGTGCTACTAAATGAAATGGAAATGAAATAATTTCCATTGCTGAAAATCACACACATTTTTATTTTCTTTTTTACTTCCTTTTTGCTTTTCTATTTGCCAGTATTTTTCTCTTACGTTTTTATCACTTTCTAAAGTGTTCCATTCTCTCAAGCAGTGTCTATACAAGGGAATCCCCTTTGTTTGCCTCCAAGACCTCTTCCCATCATCAGTAGGTACTGGTTACATTTTAGGCCTAGTACACACTGGTATTCTGGGACTTGCCTTTATTACTATTAGAGGAGTTGGAGCCACAGTTTCTTGACTTCCATAGCATTCCTTTTTTCATTTTATCCTTTACCATTTGTCTTCAAGTAACTTTTCTAATACACTGCTTTGTAGACCAAGTAATTTTAAGATACACATGCATAAAATAAATAAACTTATTGCCTACATTTTTTCAATTTTAAAATTATCTTTTGATAAATAAATGAACAAGCATTTATTCATTCAACAAGCATAGTTGATTACCATTAATTAAACATTGTATCAGGAGAAAAAATTACGTTATTTTACCATTAAGCTTTAGAAATGGCAATAGATTAAATGTGACTTTATGAAGAAAAGAAATTGAGATAAATTTTTAATATGTTCCCAAAAGGAGCCTTCAGATACTTTTTAAACAATATGATATAAGCATATACAGGTGATTAGACAAAATTTCTGTTTAACTAACTTAAAGAATAAGAGAGGGGAAAAGACAGAATAAGGAAAATTGCCCAAATAAAGAGAAGAGGAAACACTACCAGATAACAGATGAGGGACAGGCACTTTGGAAAAATCACTAAAATCTATAATAAAAAAACCCATTCTTTTAAATGTTCTTAAGGCAGAAAAAAAATTACCCAGAGAATCATGGAATGAATTATTTGCTGAACATGAAATGGAGGGTAGCTACATTTTCTATTAGTGAGAATGATAGAGTTTGAAGTTAACCAGAAAGCAGAAAAAAATGTACCCTTTGAAAAAATAAGAAGGACTTATACTTTAAGCAATGTCATATTTATCAAACCTTCATATACGGAGATATGGTATAAGCTAAAAAATATAAATAGATTCAAATAAATTATATAAATATATATATCAGTAGGTTTAAATATTCATGAGTGTATTATTCATAGTACTCATGTATCAGAGGAAAATTTAAGAAACTTAGGATATTTGGAAGTTCTCTTTGACCATTTAAAATACTCAACTTTTACCGGGTTTACTATACTGGAAAATAAAAATAAAATGCAAGAGTTCTGCCTTCAAGCTGCTAATAGTGAAGTAATAAAAGATGGAAATGGTATGCAATGAATACTATGATAGAGTTGC